ACCCCAAAAGGATTCTCTCCTAAGCCCCAGGAGAAAGAAACTCACAACAGCTCCTCTCATTTCACTCAATAGAGTGTCTACCAGGCACAACCACAATACAACATGCTACCACCGTGCCTTATCTTCTATCCCCGCAGCAATTCTAGGAGCTGGTGTTACCATCATCCCCATTTCACTTATTCATTCAACAAATACTTTCTGAGCACCTACTATGTGCTAGGCACTCTACAAGGTACTACAGGGTTACCTTAGATCCCCACGACAACCTCATAAGTTGGTATTACTATTGTCCCCATTTTCCTCATTTAGGCATTGGGTATTTATTGACCGCCTACTATGAGCTACACATGCTACCAGGAAAGTATATATACTTGCATTATTTTATATCCTCATGGAATTCTATAAACATGATATTACTATTATCTCCACTTCATTCATCCAACAAATATTTCCTGAGCACCATGCATGTGCCAAGCACCCTGCATACAAATCTAAACAAACAGAAATGAGCCCTGCCTGTATGGAGCTTGTGGTCTACTGTAGTAATCATCAGAAATACCTGCTAAGATTCTCTACTATTAATAGCTAGCTCTGTTCTAAGAGCTTTACACAAATTACCCTATTTAATCTTCATCCCGACCTCACAAGGTAAGTGAAAGTATTAGATCATCCCTGTTTTGAAGTTAAAAGAAACTGGGGACCAGAGATGAAATGATTTGTTCAAGGTCCCACACACCTAAAACTGGTGCAGACAGGACATGAGCTCCAGAGAGAGACATGCATCAAATGATCACACGAACAAACGCAAAACTGTGACTTCTGGGCCTTGATATGCGTCCTAAAGGTAGAGAAATATTACCAATGAGACAAAGTCAGCAAGGGGCTGATCTGGTGTACCAAGGTCAAAGAAGGGTCCCCAAGGAAGACAGTCAAGCTGGTGCCTGAAGGATGAGTAGAGGAGAACTAAGTAATGAGGAAAGGCAAGGCATTCCCAGCAGACAGCAGCATGTGCAAAGGCCGGGTGGTAGAAGGAAGCATGGCACACTCCAGGAACCAAGACAGGGCCTGAGGAAGGCTGTGCACAGTCTACACTGCAGGCCATGTATTTTGGTATTCATTCTAAGGGCAAGGGAAAGTACTGAGAGACTCTAAGCAAGCTATCAAAAAACATTTCTCAGAGGCACAAAGATGAGCCCCAACTCAACATACAGGCAAGGAAAGGGACCGACACAGAGTCCTGGGATGACAGATCAAGCCTGGCTTTCAACTCAGATGAATTCAAGTCAAAATTCTGAAACACAAGCTTTAAGCAGAAGAGGGAAGAAAGGTCACCGTGGGGCAATGACAGCTTTAGTCAAGGACTCCACTCAAACTTCCAGCCTTGTGCAGAGATAAGGCATTTACAGAGCCCGATAAGGCAGCATACTCTCAAGTGGTTTTCCAACCAAGGCTGGGCATGCTTTTAAAAAAATACTGTATCCTGGCGGGCTGTGGTGGTTCATGCCTGTAATCCCAGCACTTTGGGAGGCCCAGGTGAGCAGATCGCTTGAGGTCAGGAATTGGAGACCAGCCTGGCCAGTATGGCAAAATGCCATTTCTACTAAAAATACAAAAATTAGCTGAGAGTGGTGGCTCACCGCTGTAGTCCCAGTTACTCAGGAGGCTGAGGCAGAAGAATCACTTGAACCCAGGAGGCAGAGGTTGCAGTGAGCTGAGATCCCACCACTGCACTCCAACCTGGGGACCCTGTCTGTATCTGGACCCTATCCCCACCAGGGATTCTGATTAAGCTGGTTTGGGATGCAACTGGGACAATGAAACTTTGTTTTTGTTTTAAACATCCACATTCTCCTTGGAAAAGTGGCTGGGCAGGAAATATGCAAGAGAAGCCAAGAACAAGAACATCCTGTCACACTGGACGACAAGGAAACTAAGCATAAACAGGATTGTTAGAAGGCCCAAGAGCCAAGCAGAAGTGGCACCACAGTCTACAAAAGGGACAATTTGAGCTTTGACGAGGAGAGTAAGTGCAACGAGCTGAAACATACCATGTATGTTTGGTTTGTTTTTGAGATGAAATCTTGCTGTCTCCAAGGCTGGAGTGCAGTGGTGTGATCTTGGCTAACTGCAACCTCTGTCTCCTGTGTTCAAGTGATCCTCCTGCATTGGCCTCCCAAGTAGCTGGGATTACAAGCATGAGCCAAGACACTGGGTTAACTTTTGTAAATTTAGTAGAGACGGGGTTTCACCCTGTTGGTAACCAAGCTGGTCTTGAACTCCTGATCTCAAGGTATCCACCCGCCTCAGCCTCCTAATGTGCTTGGATTACAGAAATGAGCCACCGTGCCTGGCCAAAAACCTCCATTTTTACTTAAGATTTTAATGATTGGCCGGGCACGGTGGCTCACACCTATAATCCCAGTACTTTGGGTGGCCGAGGCGGGTGGATCACGAGGTCAAGGGATCGAGACCATCCTGGTCAACAAGGTGAAACCTCGTCTCTACTAAAAATACAAAAATTAGCTGGGCGTGATGGTGCATGCCTGTAATCCCAGCTCCTCGGGAGGCTGAGGCAGGAGAATTGTTTGAACCCAGGAGGCGGAGGTTGCAGTGAGCCGAGATCGTGCCATTGCACTCCAGTCTGGGCAACAACAGCGAAACTCTGTCTCAAAAAAAAAAAAATTTTTTTAATGATTAATTTCACATTATAAAGTGAAAAGTAACAAGTCTCTAGCAGTCTTATCCCGAAAACTGGGGCCGATTATAAAGCACTATTTTACTCAGTCCCATTTTCCTTCAAATCACCTATCTTGATTAAATACAAGAGTTTCATTTTCTACCCCTGTATAAGGGCAGTAAACACTACTAGGAAAAAAACCCATAATTAGCACCAGTACAAATTCAAGGTTTCCAACCTGAGCATAAGCATTGCTCTGTGATTTTTTTTTTAACCGATCCCAGGTTACAATCTCGTATTACCCCAAAATGAAATCTCAAATGTCCTTCATTCTGCATAAAATGCATGCTGGCCCCTCCATGGAAAACATCAACCATGAATTATGGGTCTCTACACTTTACCTTCACACCACTGATTTCTGTTGCACTAACTATGCTTATTGCCATGTATGTCTAGCATTAGACTGGACTCCTAGGGAACAGGAACTCACATTCATTTCTCAGTCCTGAGGGCAAAACACCAAAGTGTAATTAAGGTAAGAAACAACTCCAGTTATTTCAAGTTCTGAATTTGTGGTCTTATCAAAAATGGCAGTGTGTATTCAAGCTTTGCTTATTTTTCTGATCCCGTTCTCTATTTTTGGGGGGTCTTACAAAACAGGCCAGGAAGTCAAAAATGTCTAGAGATTACTCACACATGGTAATCTTTGCAAATAAAACTCGTAGACCTAACTTATACTAATAAAAATTTCATGATACTTTTTATTTTGTTTGAGACAGGGTCTTGCTCTGTCACCCAGGCTGAAGTACAATTACAGCTCACTGCAACCTCATCCTCCTAAGCTCAAGCAATCCTCCCACCTCAGCCTCCTGAGTGTTGGGGCTACAGGCACAAGCCACCATGTGTGGCTAATTTTTTGTAGAGATGGGGTTTCACCGTGTTGCCCAGGCTGGTCTCAAACTTCTGGGCTCACAGGATCTGCCTCACAAAGTGCTGGGATGAAAGGCGTGAGCCACTGTGTCCAGCACCAATACCAGATTTTAATTGTGCGTTGAGGTGGCTGGATTGAAGAAGAAATATGTACTCCATTTTCTTTTATTTCCCAGTCCTAAGGGGTTTTAAACACACTAATATTAAAGTTTAAATGCCCTAGAGCAGAAAAAGAGATTTAAAAACTTGACAGTCTTACAGTGATTTCAGAGATGAAAAGATTTTCAGAGATAAAAAGCATGATTTGCCAAATTTAAAACAGCAATAGACGCAATAAGTAGCAGATAAAATATAACCAAACAAAAGTTAGTAACAAAAAAATCAGCAAATGATTTATCCTACTACTCGAATCAAAAAGACAAAATAGATTAACAAGATGAAAGAAAAAAAAAGTTAGAAATATGCAGATCAACCTTACCAATACTGTGTATAGAAAGAAAACTGTGTTTTTTTGACAAATTTATTGAGCATCGAGCATCTAGCATACTACAGCCATGATACAATAAAGAATGAGAGACATGGAATGTGTCTTCAAAACATCCACATTCTAGAACAAATGAAGCTGAAGTAGTAACCAAACAAATTACTGAAGAAAAACTAGGCTTATGAAGAAAGGGAGTAGGAAGAGAAGGAAAGGAAAAAAATAAATGTATACATTTTATGTTTTAGCAAAATTTAAGGCAAAGAGATTCTGATAGAATTTCAAAGATTTCAGAGATAAAGTATCCCTCAAGCATGGTGATGATTTGGTGTCTCGGGTAATCAAATTTTTAAAAACATCTGGATGGCCATGTTTTTAAAAGAATACCGTAACACATGGACAAGGACATGGTTAAACTGGCACTCCCACACATTCGAAGTGGGAAC